TAGGTGTTTGTGTGTTAGTGAAAGTTGAGCTTTATTTGCGGAAAAGGGATAGTAAACCACCAGTATTGCCGAAAATTTCATAATTTTTCAAATCAACTAATTTTCAGCTGGAGAACATTGGAGCTGAAGACATTCTGGATCGTAATGAACGACTCATTCTTGGTCTTATATGGACAATTATTCTTCGTTTCCAGATTGACACTATTGTCATTGAGGTAGGTTATGGCTAGGTGATATTCTTTTTTCTATTTCAACTGAAAGCGCAATTACGCCTAGGGGGGTATTTTGCACTATTGATGGTTTTCGTTGTCGTGTCGAGCCATCAGTCAGAGATATGTGAAATCTCATGAAGCAAACTTTGACTGAGCTGAATCACTCAAAGTTTGTGAGAATTTTTCCATTAACTCTTATGAAGAATACCTGCCAATTTTATAAAGCAATCAGTACCGCCATGGTAGCGAAATTGCAAAGTACCGCCCCCCCCCCTCCATCCGCTGGGCCGAACTGTTCTCAGTTGAAGACAAATGAACAATCTCTGAATTGTCCTGCGAGAACAGACCAGCATAATGATCAGTGCTTTGTTTTTAGGACGAGGAAGAACGAGGAGAGCGAAAGCATGCTAAAGACGCCCTACTGTTGTGGTGTCAGCGTAAAACAGCTGGTTATCCTAACGTAAGGGTGGAGAACTTCACGACAAGTTGGCGGAATGGTCTGGCCTTCAACGCGCTCATACATGCACACAGGTTTGTCTATTTGACCTACTCCTCACAACCTTGAGTTATAGAGCTCAGCCTACAAAACCCATTTTGTTTTTCGATGGTATCGTTTTTTTTCAGGCCTGAATTAGTCAACTTTAACGCGCTCAACCCCAATGACCACATTGGTAATCTCAATAACGCGTTCGATATCGCCGAGAAGAAGTTGGAGATCGCGGTAGGTTTTTTCAGCAAATTGCAAGCAGTAAAAAAAGCTATTTTGTTCATTTTATCTCACTTGCTGTTCTGGGGATAGGACATTGGAAGGGAGGGAGTAATGGAAGAAAGGTTCCTCCAGTGCGACATTAACTATCCTCAACGGGTGTGGACCATGTTACTTTTCAGGAGAGCTCCGTAATTGCTTGCCTAGATAAGACCCCCGGTTAGTCGGTAGTATCTCGGTTTGACTATCCTGCTACATAGTATATGACGGTTTCATCTGTCGCGTCTGTCCGGGGATTCCGGCATCACTGAATAGCCAGTTTCATAGGAACGGTCAAGGGTGGACTGGGTAGCGACCGAGATGTGCGGAACGCACATGAACTCAGCAAAGGCCGGCTCAACGTGGACGGGGTTCTCTGTTTGTCTGACGGAGGCCAGTTATTCAAAAGTTGTAATTTGATTCCAGTAGAAGCCAGAAAAAGCGGAAAAACGGGTGGAAAGAACTGGGTAGACGCCCCCTCTATCTTCAGAGTTTGTGCGGGCTCGTATTCTTACTCAATAGAGCAGTGCCTGGCTGGCTACACGCCTGATCGGCTGCCATTCTTTTCGTTTTTGGGGATTTTTGAAGAATGTGTTTCGCCACCGATTTATAGCCTTTCATTAGTGTCTTCTTAGCTGTTATGTTGATTTTTCATTTTCTTGATATTTCGTTTAGTGGTGTAGTGAATAGTCATTTTCATCTCCCATTCTTTTCAGCGTCTGCTCGATGCTGAAGATGTGGACGCTGCTCGTCCAGATGAGAAGTCCATCATCACTTACGTATCCTTGTATTACCATCATTTCGCAAAACAGAAGACGGAGTTGACTGGAGCAAGGCGGGTTGCAAACGTAAGTAAAGTTGCTATTTTCCCTATTTCTGAATATTTTACGTCTCACAAAAGAATTTCAAAATTACTCAAAACTGTATGTAATTTTAATTATAGATTGTTGGAAAACTAATCACTAGTGACACAATGGAAGAGGACTATGAACATATTTCATCAGATCTATTAAAATGGATCTATGAGACCATCAAACTTCTCGAAAATAGACGGTTGGCGTCTCTTTAATTGGCAGGTTTTCCCCACGGTAAATGGCTGTTTTGCAGATTTCCGAATTCTTTGCATGGTATGCGTGAAGAACTTGGAAAGTTCAATCAATTCCGTACAGTGGAGAAGCCTCCTAAGTAAGTTGGCTGATAAGTTTAGTTTTGTGGATAACATGATCCCTCCAAGGCAGTGGGCACGATAGTGGCTGGTGGCTGGTAGTTATCGCCAGCGTTATTGGGGCAAGGGCTGAGTAGGGGTGGCCATATGCCCTCTCTCAGCCCTTGCGCCAATGATACTGGCGACAACTGCCCACCTCTAGCAATCGTGCTTACTACCGTTAATGACCTCCTTACTGAGTTTTTATTCGTGGTGTTATAACCTTGTTGCAACGAAAGAATTGTTGCAAATGAAGTCACGGGCGGGGCATTCGCACCAGGAATTAGTCGGAAAATGCGGCAGTGTGTCGTGGCAACTAGCTGGGGAATAATCTGCGAGGCAGTTGGGCTTGGTGGGGCACAGAATGTACTTAGCTCAGCTTGGACGTGTTACCCTGTGAATACCTGAGAATTCCTGTTTCCAGAATGGCTCATTTGAATATTCGCAGCTTAACAGGAGTTAACTAGTCCGACCAAATTGAGACCTTTGGTTGACATGAACTAACAAAAGGAACTAGCGAAAGTATGAAATGCCCCCTCCGAGCTTGACAGCGGCTGCCTGCCAGTTCATCCGCATCGCCGCAACGCGGGTGTAACGTCTCCCACCCTGGACTACCAGTCCAGGCTGTCTGTGAAGTAGTGCGGGGTCATGTTTCCTCATTCAGGTACAAGGAGAAAGGAGAGCTGGAGGCACTTTTCTTCACAATACAAACCAAAAGAAAGGCTATGGGAAGGAAACAGTATGCTCCACCCCAAGGTTTGTTTTTACTTCATATGAGACAAAAGGTCCCCTCAAAAGAGAAAGTTTTTAGGGCTATTCATGTATGATGTAGAATCAGCTTGGGAAAAACTGGACCGAGCTGAGAATGACCGTCAAGTAGCAATTATTGCCGAGTTGCAGAGGTTAATATCGTTCCTGTTAATTTCTCCACACTAATAGATCTCCTTACATAAGTTCGCTTTCTTTGCAGGCAAGAACGACTAGAGCAACTTGCGCAGCGTTTCCACAAGAAAGCTAATCTACGAGAGGTTTGTGTCAGTTGACCTTCACATCACTATTACGATCACCAGGAAATGTTCTAGAGCTGGCTGAGAAACGTGCAAGCGGTGCTTGAAGAGATGGACCACGGCAGAACAGCTACGGAGGTGGAAAAATCGCTGAAGAAGCAGCAGGCTATCTGAGAAGCAGCCAGGCTATAGCAAAAACGACCTCCCTAGCAAGAGGTTAGTTGAATTTTAGCACTTAAGCATCCTCATACAATGTTTCGGAGGGGGGGGGAGGGTCTTTGAAGACTGAGGGCTGGAAAAGAAGGACTGAAGTCATCCCAAGTAAAGAAATGAACACCGGAACTCCTCCCTCTTTTAGCTTCGCGGAATGTCATCATTTCCAGTTCGAGGGCTCAGTTCTGCATGAGTAATCTAAATGGGAAATGTCCCATCTTCATCTTGGGGAAAATTAATTTTACCGCAACAATGATTCTTTTCATTTGCTGCGCATCCAACCGCGCCCCCTTTATATTCAAGATGATGCTGCAAGTTTTCAAAGTTATATCCTCCCCTATCATTCAATATTTGTCATAATTGTTTGTAAGGGAGGACCGCTTTCAAATTACTTACGATCGATGTGTGGCTGATCTTTGCAATGAGCGTTATCAACGAAGAGCCGATAAGATCCGTGCCCCGTGAAGAGGGACTCCATAAGAAAGGTAACGTGGCTTGAAAATAAATGTCTTAAAACGAAATATCTTCCGCCAGGCATTATACGAAGGTGCAAATGTTCAACGAGAAAGAACTGAAGAATGATTCTAGAAAACCGTGCCTCTGAAGATTTCGCAAGTTACGAGGCACGATTCATCGGGGGCGGGGTTGGGAAACGCGGTCCATTCGGTGGGCCCACTTTTCTCTCTGCTTCTGCACGGCGGTGCCAGGCAGGCCCCTGCCGAGGTGTTCAACTGTTTATATACTCCATATACCGCAAGACTGAATTAGGGCGTCTGCCGGTCCACCTCAAGATGGAAATGTCGCATGCATAAACGCACCACCCTGTTTCCATTATTGTTCTAATGTGTGTTAGTTCTTAATGTTTGAAGTAATGGCAGCCAGCCCTTGTATCCAGCTGCGGGGATACGAAGTATAGAACGAAGGAGGTGACTTTTTCTGGGTTTTGCCGGCCCGGTGTCTTCTAAAGCATTTCGCAAAAAATAGAAAAGGCCGCCACCTAAGACTACTATCATTTCCTTCAGGCTGGCTTGTATAAATGAACTGTTTACTTCACGTAGTGGTAATCCCTCTCCCGCCCGGGTTTCCCGTTTGGTTGGGTGTGCAGAAGGGCAGAGGCTGGGGTTGCCCCCGGACGCAGCACGTTTTTACATCCTGTTATCGTTTGCTCCGCTTGATACAATGCTGGGTTGTGGCCCCTGTCTTCACACCAAATTATTGGTTGCTCTCAGTTTTAGACCGTTGAATGGAGAACGGGTTGGCATCGCGCCCAATTCCAAAGCTGTCCCCTGAACACCGCGCGAAGCCATCCCATAGCGAACAATTTGGTGGTGTAGACCCTAAGTAGCACGGGGTTCGATTAGATAAGCTCGAGGTGGGGCCTATGACTTTGATCTGTGAAACCTACTGAAAATTGAACGTTCTATAAGCCGTACCGTTCTGCGGACATTGGTCAGATTTGCGCATCTGCCCTTCCAGAGCGGTGGCACCGGTTTGTCCTTTGTATGGGTCAATGTCCTTTTACGTAATGCCAAATCCACCAGAAGTAACACTTGATCTACCTCTTTCTACGAAGAAGCAAGCCGGTTTTTTTCTTTAATAGCATACAGTTGCTTGAGTAGATAATGAACTTCGCCATGGCTTACGCCTGGAAATAACCTTTGTAGCAGGTTTATCCCGATTTCAAAAGTAATGGTGAGGTTTTATCGGCCTTGTTTTTACTGTGGAGTTAAAGATCACGTTTAAGAAAATGTATAGAACAGCACCGAGTTTTGGGAGTCATTTCAAAGTAAACCTTTTGTGGCCTCCCTATGTATCTTCCATTCAGATGGACGCACTTGTTGAGCTTACTCGAACAACGTCGCAAGGCGCTGATGAGCTTGAATGACTTAATGACCCTTCTGAGAGACATTGATACTCTATCTAGTGAGCTGAAGCATCTAGAGGTAAGAATTGTATAGGAAATGGTGTAATAATTGTGTACCCTCGAATCGTTCTCCTTTTAGCCAGTCGTTCGTAATCGTGATGTAGGCAAACATCTACTAGGTGTAGAAGATTTACTTGGCAAGCATGAACTCATTGAAGCTCAGGTGCGTTAAGTTTTGAAAAGTTTATTGGTTACTTTTCAAACAATTCTTAGGCTCTTGTGCCTGCTTGCGGTTTTTTAGCGCTGTTCGGCTTGGGGGGAGGGGCCATTTTTGCACTTTCGCTGATTCCTATTTGCCTAGTTTCCTGTTTACGGCGTCAACACCTTGGTAAGAACCATAAGACACTTGTGCATGTGTGAGTAAATGGCTCAATCGCTACTGGTTGGCAGCGTTCGGGCTCCGCGAGCTTCCGACCAACGCGCGACCGGGAAGCGGTGCCCCGTCCGCGGACGTCTGAACGCTGGCCGTATAAGTTTTTACAGGATTTTTCAGTCACATGCCCCTTGAATAGGCGGTCCCAACCAGTGATCGATAATAGTCAAGCAAAATTGGCCCCCACCAAATCCAACTGTGCTAAAAGTGTTGTTACTTTACTTTTGAACAAAGTCTTCTTTTCACGTTGTCGCTGATGATTTTTCGCTGCAGTTACCCTTAACGACCCCACAAATTCGGAATAAAGCTGGATTATTATCGATGTTTGCCTCTATTATCAAATCTTACCAGAATTATGCCCGTGAAACTAGTTTGACTGATTGAGTACTACCATGACTGTTTTGGCGCGGAATCTGTAGTGTAAGCGCCAAACCACTGTGATGTTGGAGCTCGAGGGGTCAAACTATCCAACAGGCAGATTTCTGGTCGGAATTAACCCAAGGGATATCAGTCGGTAAGCAGCCCAAGTTTCGAAGAGCGGGCCGTGAAGTGTGAATAATGCTAATATTTTTCTTCTATCATTGGCAATATAGAAGAGCTACAGTCATGTTCGCAGTGGATCCTGTAGCGTTCAAGGAGGGCTGGGCTTGGCGCCGTGCCAGCCTGTTCTCCACCAATTGGGAAAGCTGTCAGGCGACCACAGTCGGTGGAGAATAAGCTGGCGCCGCACCAAACCCAGCCCCCTGAAACGTCTCAGCGTCCGTTAAGAGCAAAGCTGTACGCTCGCAAGATCCGCTTTTCTTATTGGCACCTTTCAGGTTAACGCTCAAGGAACCTGGCTTACTAATGTAACCAATCAGGCCAACAAGTACATAAGAAACAAAGGAGAACAGTACGATGTATTACAGAGGAAACTCGATGACGTCACTGCCCAGTATTACTCGTAAGCGCGTTTTTTGTGATTTCAACTATTCTTCTCTAGCATTACTTTCCAATCGAAATCATTCGTTTTGTTACTACAGGCTGGTCGATCTCTGCCGTCAACGCCGCCTCAACCTTGGATAAGGCTCGTGCGTTGTATCAGTTTGTCCAGGATCATGAAGAAGAGCTCTCGTGGCTCTCCGAGAAAGAACATCTTTGCCGTCGTGCTCTCGCAAATGGAGATGTGGCAGCGGTGCAGCAGACGACCCTCCTGTATAAGGTACATTGTTGGTCGACTTGGATTACCAAATGATGCCAAAAAACACTTAACAGATGTGATGGGGGCAAGGGGGGGGGGCGGTGAGTTAACAATCCCGCGTTGCGGCAAGAAGGGTCGCAACCGGAACACGTGTGCGGCATTCGCGCCAGGAGCCATTAGATTCAACTGATCTGTATTGTGCGAAGTCAACTAGCTAGGAAATGCTAGCTAGATTGTACGCTTTGCCACAAGGTGAATCCCACAGCCGACACCCATAGTGGGAGTAAGTGAGTTTCAGTTGTGGGGAGATGTTTGTCAGAATTAAGCACGCCGTAAAGCGTAATGGGGACAAGCCGCCGCCGTGGTCGTGCAAAAGTTTCGCTGTTCCGTCGCGCGCGGTGCATCATTTAAGGCTGCTGTCGCTTGTGTCTACGCGCAGATGTGCCACGCGCGCAGTTTGCCAAGCTTGCTCGGAATTGTGTGGTGACTTATTGATTTGCATCCTGTTCATTCTTGGCCTGGAACCAATGCTGTCATGATATGGGACAGTTTTCGAAGTATCTTTCTGCTCTGAAGGCGGAGATGGTGTAATGGCAAGTGGCACGCTTACCACGCGCTCGGTTGAGGGTCAAACCCGGATCGGCTGTCGCCCAGGCGAACCGAGCCTTTCTACCTTCCGGGAGCGGTGAACTCGTACCAGTTCGACGTGTCTGGAAGGGTAAGCACACTGACTTGTACATCGGCTGGCCCCCGCAATTCACTGGCTAAATCCCATGAAATAAGTCCCTGCGATTCTGAATGGAAGTAGAATGCGTGCATTATCCCGAAAAGGGGTTGATCAACGGTGATAACTTTATTTTTTTTGTCATTTTGCTCCAGTTGTTCCGTAAATTCCGCTACCCTTTTTTTAAGAACACTGAGACCGAGATGCAGTCACACTGGGCACGAACAAAAGATATGATGGCCGCCGGCGAACGCCTCATTGAAAACGGGCAGTCGCGGGAAGATATCCAGGTGAGGGTTTCAGGGCAACTTTTCACTTAACGTTTCACTCGACTTTTTTTTATTTTTTTTATCGAGTCTCATTGTCAGTCGTGGCTTCGGTTTGCTTGAGGCATTGTCGAAGGAGTAAGCGTTTCCGGGCATTAATATGCAAATGATACAAAGCACGTGTTCCAGCGGCGTATTCAAGCGATGCAGCAGGGTTGGGAACGTCTTCGAGCCGCCCATCAAGCTCTTGGTCAGTGGTTAAACGAGGCAAAACAAGCCCAACAGTACTTCCAGGTATATTTGACTTTTGCGATAACCTGGCAGAATTGTATGCATCTTTCTCTCCTATTCTTCCTTATTTAGGACGCAAACGAAGCAGAGTCCTGGATCCGTGAAAAAATGCCGTTGGTGAAAAGTGATGATTTGGGTCGTGACGAAGGAGCTGCGGAATCGTTACTGCAACGGCACGCTCCGTCTAGAAGAAGAAATCCATGCATACAGGTCAGCTATTTGTTGACGAGTGTAATGAGGGAGTGATAGCTGTCAGGGACTAATTTTGCTGTGAGCATTTTCTTGCGCC